ATAAAAAATTGTAGCCATACATCAATCGACTCATTTTTCTCAAAATATTTATTCAGTAAATATCGGATATTATTAAATTTTACGATACTATACATACAATTTATTTATCGCACTTATGGTAACAATTTAAAAACACAAATAACATTCTTAAGCATAATAAGTTGTGAATAATCTGTTTGAACAACAAAAATATGTTTAACTTTCATACTGTATTTATGTTATGTCTACTTGATTGAGATAAACTTTAAATGAACACGTTAATCGTCGAAAAGAACAATCGGTACAATCGGTATTTTTCATATTACACGTAACCCAAGACTTATTTGCTGACTCCCAAAAAATCCAAAATTTTTTCAGACAAGCAGTCTTACGAATTTACAATTCCACGGCAAACATTAGAAAATTGAGAGCAACGAAAAGCTCTCTCTTAAAAGCAAAGATAGAGAGCATCACCTTAAAAAAAAAAATTCAGTGAGTGTAATGCAAACTTACGCCTAATCTCTTCCTAAACAACGAAATCGAGTACAATTCCGAGTCCTCACGAGATAAGGTGCAAAAGCTCACATAAATCGTAAACTCTTCGGTTGGGCGTCGTAAAAGCGATACGGATGGAATACAGAGCAGTAAAATAACGGCAACGACCTCTGAACAGCGCCAACAGAGCGGTTTCCATTCTGCTCAGGTGTTACGAGAAATGTAAATTTCTTTCTACAGCGACAAATCACTTGCACGAAAAAGGACAGCAATCGTTTATCGTAATCGAAGCTTGCGATAACAATTAGCGGTATATCAAGATTGGTGTTGCAAGCTTCCGTCACATGCTAGCACAAGATGATGACATAACGATCAGACGTTGTGTCTCCGAAGTAAAGCGTGTGCGCATGTAATTTGATCGATTTTGCTTTTTAAATGTGTTCAAACGAAGAAAAATAATTTTTTTTACCATCTCATATTTCTACCCGTTAATATTACTGCTTAATCTATGTTATTGATTTATTTTCTACTTTGAGTTACTTTAAAAAACACCAATTTTGATGATTTCTACATCGTTATAGAATTTTCATTAATATGTCACTCCAAATGAAGTAAGAATAATCTCTTAAAAATAAGTTTTAAATAGATTTCTAGTTTAGAAAAAAAAAAAAAAAGATTTATTGAGATACATAGTCACAGGAGATTATAGTTCAAGTAAAATACGAGATAAACAAATCAGCCATGGAGTGAAAATGGTACATAAATCTCAACTATTGTGACATTGCTGACTTGTTAATTAGCTAATTGATCGACTTTTTTAAAGATGGTATTGAAGGAAAATTCTTCCATTCCATGCTTTGTCGCATTGTCAAGTACCACAAAGGCATTTGAAACTAGACTTTCTTAACCATACATGTATACCTTAATTCTGATGTATACTCTTGACTCGTGATAATAGCCCTGAACTTTGAATAAGAATCGAAACAGATGTTGCTCATTCAATTTCTGGGAGATAACAACATTACCTAACTGACTCGAGGCTTTTTACCCTCAAGATCTTCCAGTACTTTTTTCTTTTCCATGTTTCGAGCTTGCAATAATATTCCAAGCTAATAATCAATCTTGCGATATTCCTTCGTTAGAAGCGTTTTAGTCATGTTCCATGAAGGATTCGAGCAATAAAAAATATGTTAACGCCCAAAATAAAAGCAATTTCCTGGTAAACGAAGCAATCCGTTAACCCCAAACGACCCGTCTAGTTGCCCGCGTTTCCAGCAAAAGCCCCGGCCAAGTTTTTCCTCGATTAAATCAAAAAGTTTCCTCCCGATCCAACAACCTATACCCCAGCCCCTCTATCCGGAGGATGAATCTCTCGACTGTACCAGCGATTAAGTGCATCTATCAACCTTCCGCTCTTGTTGGCCTTTCCCCTCTGTCCGTCTTGTTTTCCCGCGAGCGTTGAAAATTTCCCGGCTCTCGGGACGGAGCTCCTTAGGTAAATGAAATTACGCTGCAGCGATTCCCCGGCGAGTTTTCGCGCCCGAGAGTTCTGGCAGCTTCGTCATTAATTGCGCGACTATTTCTCCCTTCGCTCGAGCCGAACGCCGCGAGCATCGATGGTCCCGGGAACTTGTGCGTCTTTACTTAATTATCAGTTCTTTTTTTGTTTCGCGAAATTTCCCGAAGCTCCGCTAATCGGATTCACGTGATTTTCAGCTCCATACAACTCGGGGATTCCCAGATTTGGGTTGTCGGCTCAAGATCGAATTAATTATTTCGAACAAATATCTCGATGGAAGATCCGCTTGATGTTTAGTAGTAATGGAAACTGAACTTTTGTTATTGTTATTTGTTCTTATGTCCGTCGTTTAACCGATGACTGCAAGCATGAGAAAAAACTAATGCTAGACTGCACTCAACTTTTTATAAAAAATTACTTATTAATCAATTCAAAATATTCTTGATTCGTTTCGTTTCGTTTTTTTTTTCTTTTTTTCACGAGAAAAATACCGTCACTTTGCTTTCACTTATGCCTTAAAAGTGAATTGATCAAGTTAACAGAATGGGCCCAACGGCCAATGTTTTTTTACGGCAGCGCTGAAAAGGATGAAACAAAACAAAAAATAACAACAGCAGCAGCCGAGCACTTTAGAAGAGACCATTCGCGTACCTATTTTCAATGTGAATAAAAAAAATCCCCCCATCTCTTCTTCTGTATTAAAACGCCATTCTCACTTTTACGCAAAGCATCCGAGATGACGAAATCGATTAATTGGCCACTATGTCCTAAAAAAGAGCTTCGAGAGGTTCGCAATTCGAGGAAATAGATTTTCCCTATATCCTCGAAACACGTTAATTGCCAACAACGCTTGTGTTTGGATATTGCGCTTCGTTTTTAGTCACTCTCCGTGAACCCTCGTTGTCCATCCATGTCGATACAGACGATTGAAATGCAAACGCACTGGGAATTAATTTTCATAGCTCTCGTAGTTTTACATTGCTTACGAAATACATAGTACCTATACCGATGAAATGCCCATTTCCTCGCGTTTTTATAATGTATTTTTTTATTTTTGCACGATTGTTTTAGTCATGTATTTTAAGTCTCTACAAGTGTCAGAAGATGCAAAAAAATATTGATGAAGTTTTTTTAACGGATCATCTGATACATCATTACATCACATCTTCATTACCGCAATCATTTTTCAGTGTAAAACATTGTTAGGTATATATTTTTTTGCTACAAACTAAATAAAAAAATCTCTAAATGTGTAATGACGTAGGATTTTAATCGCAGACATCTCTTCAAATTATTATATATGGTGATAAATTTTTTCAAAAAAGAAAAAAACTTGTCAATTACAATAACCAACATTTATAGGTACTAACTTACACAAATGCAATTATGCTTTAAGATTATTCAAAGTAATTACAAAACATTTCCACAATACGTATGCAATTGCAATAATTACGATTAAAGTAGATAATGGTCACACAATAAAATAATTGAATTAAGCGACCTGTTGCTTGCTTTAAAAGCTAATTGCCCAACACACCGTAGTGCCACAAATTATTTTATCCTTGTCTTCATCGCTAAACTGTATGTACTCAGTCTTACCGGCACTAATGCACGTGAATTGCGTCACAGATTGCGCACTCTCTCTCCACCCACTGTATGAGTAATGCGCTATTTGTACACAACTTAGCTAAAGAGACGAATTTATGATTCTTATACGGTTCAACGAAAATTTTCCAACACCCGGAGTAGCTTTTCTCTTTAAATATGTGACTAGAGATAGTAGTATTTTTTGTAAGACGAAAAATCTCTCGATTTACGAGGCTCAGCTGCTGTCTTATAATTAAATCTTAATTAAATATAATATGACATGGTGGCTTTGTATTAATCGCTCACGTAATTGCTGGGATTTTCTTTCTTTTTTCTTTTTATAAATTTATTCAAGACTAGAGCTTTCAAATTTGCTCGATAGGATTGAAATACCTACGTGCGTCTCATGCTGTTTGTACCCACGTAGTAAATTATAAAAATGAATCGACTAGTCTTTTTTAATAAATGAAACGTACGACCTGAACTCTGTATTTTTTTTCAATATACCTCATTTCTGTATAAATTTTACAGAAAAAGTCCTAAAGGTATAATTTCAAAGGTGATTTACACTTTGATAATCTCTCGAATTTCACGTGATGTTAACTACTGATGAGAATTCTACTTGCGTCAATCACATACAATATCTTGATCGATGTCACGATTCTCAAAAGATTAGATATAAACGCGATGCAGTTTCCATTGTCCGCGTGATTAACATCATGCGGGTTAAAAGTAATAAATCAATTGTATCATTAAGCAATGACGTTTGTTTCTTATTCATTTTGATACACATTTGTAAATGACATAGTCTAGAATCGAACAAGTTGTTTTTCTTCTACGATTTCCTCATAATGTATTTTTAAAACTGCACCATTTGAATAAGCGCACTATAATTAGAGCAATTACTTGATAAACAAATTATTTCTTTCCTCGTATATGTTACGAGATAAACAAAGCCAATGAATGTTATTAATCAGGGCAATTTATAAAAATGTCTCATACGGCCCAATAATATGTGGCTTCTGTGGTTCCACAAAAGTAACTCGGACTAATCTTAGTTTCGAAAATTGAAAGAAACAGCGAAAACCAGGAAACATTTGGGACAAATAGACGGAAACATTGGATAATGAAAGCTTGGGCACCAAAAATCATCGAGACCTCGTTAAATTGACGCAAGTCGATCGGCAGTGACAGCATGTCATAGCCTCGAGAGTCAGTATCGCTCCGATAACAGACCAACGCGTACAAAAGCACGTATATACAGAAGCACGAATGAGTAAACAAGACGGACAGGCAGACGGAGAACCAATGGCCGGTCAATACAGGCGCATGTATCTGTACGGCAATTGACGTCCGCGAACTATAGAGTGTGTGTGTGTGTGTGTGTGTATGTGTACAACATCGGTACCTGTGCCGGGCTTCTCTTGGCTCGCGTGCAGCTTACACCGACCTCTCGTCAGTCGTATCTGGCGAATCGATAGCCTTCGCTCCTGTACTCCAAATTCTAACCGAGGGAGCCAAGGCTCGTGATATCTTTTTCCGTGTAATCAAACCTGTGGCTTTTTTTTTCGGTGGTGTTGTTCTTTCTGGTTGCGAAACGATCGGCACTGGTTACACTATGGCGAACCGCAGTGACGTCGTACATCTGAAATGTGAGTGGATGGCCTTTTTTGGACCTTTTTTTTCGGGTTGGGTCATCGGAGGTTGGAGTATGCGGTAGTGCTGAGCGAGGATTGCGGGAAATGTGACATAACTAATGGTTGAATTTTATTCATACGAGACACAATTTTGCTGCAACATTTTGCATAATCTTCCTACCTACCTCTGGTTATATTAGGTTCCATAGTATAGTTAATTGATCTCGCAAAATCTCGAGATTCATCATTTGCAAATATGTTTAATTGAAGAGAGGAAAGGCTTGACAAGTTCTAAAAAATTTTTTGATCATTTCGATACTTGATGTACTATCAAAACAAATTTGTGCATTACGAGTCATGAAAATAGAAATACTCCATCCATAAATCTTACTGACTTTTGAACGACGTATTTTCCGAATCTCTTTCTCGTCGCACTGTGATTTCTTGAAAAAAAAAAAAAAAATTGACACCCATATTTAACGCTCATTAGAGAAAACGTGAGTATATATGTCGTATAGGTATTGAGTCACCTTAAACTTGAAACTACGTGTCGATATCTTCCGCTGTTCACGTGCACCGCGGTATTTAGCTACTGACTTGACAATCGATACGAGCGATGCTTCCGTGCCACGTGATTCCTCGCTTACTCTGGTTCATACGTTTTGTTTTCTTGCTAGATCGTTTTTCATGATTTAACTCAGAATATTTGTATCAATTGTAAACAGAGATCATTTTTTTTTTTTTTTTTTATTTATTTTTTTTTTTGTGGTTTAAGAGATTTCGAAGACCAACTGTGGGTTGAAAACGTTAAACTTCAAGTCCATTCGACAAGTATGAAAGTAATACCGGAAATCTAATCTTGGACGTTCTACAAAGATAATATGCTTTAGTGATAAGATAATTGTTGTTTCTGACATGAAAATGTTTGTTAGTGAATTTCATACGATGCGATATTACGTGATGGACAAATTGTTTACGAAAAATAATTTTTTTCTTTTACAAGCAGCATAAGATAAAAAAAATTTCCTCAACTATTAAAGTTTCCTTGCACTGTAATCTATTTTTACTTTGCAAATTCTTACTTTATATAACAATTTTCCTTATATATTTTATTTTTTGTATCCAGAACATACTAGTTTAAATACTGATGAGTTTATAAAATTTTTAATTAAAAGTCTAAGTCAATCAATTACGTAGACATGAAATCGTTAAATATCAAAAGAAAAACTTTTTACCCAACACTACTTTGTCTCAGAGTTTCCTATAAAATCGTCCGAAGTTTAATCATCGTCACAACTAATCATAAAGTCTAGTTAAAAAGTACTTTTTTATTTGAAAAACAAAAAATTGCAAAAGATAATAGAAAATGAAAAAAAAAGAAGACCAATCGTGACGAAATAGGTCTTTGTGATACCAAGATTTAAATGGCTAAACACGTAGAAAACAGATAGAAGAACATTTTCTTAAAAATCATATAAAATATCAACAGGGCAACCGATTTTTTGATCGTCAGACTAGGGCACAGATAAATTTCCAATTTTTTTGCAATATAAATTTTTGCTAAAAATGTAATGCACTGTTTGTTCCAAAAATCGATTTCTTTAATTACTGATGATAACATTGAGCTTAATCAAATTCTTCAACAAAACCGTGCACAATCACAATTTGGGTGAAAAAAAAGTATTTAAATAATTTATTTCGAAAAAAACTTTATGGATAGTAATGAGTAAAAAAAAAAAAAATTCTAGAAAATAATGCCATTTCATTTGAAAAAAAAAAAAAAAAAAAAAAAAAAAAAAAAAAAAAAAGATTTATTGAGATACATAGTCACAGGAGATTATAGTTCAAGTAAAATACGAGATAAACAAATCAGCCATGGAGTGAAAATGGTACATAAATCTCAACTATTGTGACATTGCTGACTTGTTAATTAGCTAATTGATCGACTTTTTTAAAGATGGTATTGAAGGAAAATTCTTCCATTCCATGCTTTGTCGCATTGTCAAGTACCACAAAGGCATTTGAAACTAGACTTTCTTAACCATACATGTATACCTTAATTCTGATGTATACTCTTGACTCGTGATAATAGCCCTGAACTTTGAATAAGAATCGAAACAGATGTTGCTCATTCAATTTCTGGGAGATAACAACATTACCTAACTGACTCGAGGCTTTTTACCCTCAAGATCTTCCAGTACTTTTTTCTTTTCCATGTTTCGAGCTTGCAATAATATTCCAAGCTAATAATCAATCTTGCGATATTCCTTCGTTAGAAGCGTTTTAGTCATGTTCCATGAAGGATTCGAGCAATAAAAAATATGTTAACGCCCAAAATAAAAGCAATTTCCTGGTAAACGAAGCAATCCGTTAACCCCAAACGACCCGTCTAGTTGCCCGCGTTTCCAGCAAAAGCCCCGGCCAAGTTTTTCCTCGATTAAATCAAAAAGTTTCCTCCCGATCCAACAACCTATACCCCAGCCCCTCTATCCGGAGGATGAATCTCTCGACTGTACCAGCGATTAAGTGCATCTATCAACCTTCCGCTCTTGTTGGCCTTTCCCCTCTGTCCGTCTTGTTTTCCCGCGAGCGTTGAAAATTTCCCGGCTCTCGGGACGGAGCTCCTTAGGTAAATGAAATTACGCTGCAGCGATTCCCCGGCGAGTTTTCGCGCCCGAGAGTTCTGGCAGCTTCGTCATTAATTGCGCGACTATTTCTCCCTTCGCTCGAGCCGAACGCCGCGAGCATCGATGGTCCCGGGAACTTGTGCGTCTTTACTTAATTATCAGTTCTTTTTTTGTTTCGCGAAATTTCCCGAAGCTCCGCTAATCGGATTCACGTGATTTTCAGCTCCATACAACTCGGGGATTCCCAGATTTGGGTTGTCGGCTCAAGATCGAATTAATTATTTCGAACAAATATCTCGATGGAAGATCCGCTTGATGTTTAGTAGTAATGGAAACTGAACTTTTGTTATTGTTATTTGTTCTTATGTCCGTCGTTTAACCGATGACTGCAAGCATGAGAAAAAACTAATGCTAGACTGCACTCAACTTTTTATAAAAAATTACTTATTAATCAATTCAAAATATTCTTGATTCGTTTCGTTTCGTTTTTTTTTTCTTTTTTTCACGAGAAAAATACCGTCACTTTGCTTTCACTTATGCCTTAAAAGTGAATTGATCAAGTTAACAGAATGGGCCCAACGGCCAATGTTTTTTTACGGCAGCGCTGAAAAGGATGAAACAAAACAAAAAATAACAACAGCAGCAGCCGAGCACTTTAGAAGAGACCATTCGCGTACCTATTTTCAATGTGAATAAAAAAAATCCCCCCATCTCTTCTTCTGTATTAAAACGCCATTCTCACTTTTACGCAAAGCATCCGAGATGACGAAATCGATTAATTGGCCACTATGTCCTAAAAAAGAGCTTCGAGAGGTTCGCAATTCGAGGAAATAGATTTTCCCTATATCCTCGAAACACGTTAATTGCCAACAACGCTTGTGTTTGGATATTGCGCTTCGTTTTTAGTCACTCTCCGTGAACCCTCGTTGTCCATCCATGTCGATACAGACGATTGAAATGCAAACGCACTGGGAATTAATTTTCATAGCTCTCGTAGTTTTACATTGCTTACGAAATACATAGTACCTATACCGATGAAATGCCCATTTCCTCGCGTTTTTATAATGTATTTTTTTATTTTTGCACGATTGTTTTAGTCATGTATTTTAAGTCTCTACAAGTGTCAGAAGATGCAAAAAAATATTGATGAAGTTTTTTTAACGGATCATCTGATACATCATTACATCACATCTTCATTACCGCAATCATTTTTCAGTGTAAAACATTGTTAGGTATATATTTTTTTGCTACAAACTAAATAAAAAAATCTCTAAATGTGTAATGACGTAGGATTTTAATCGCAGACATCTCTTCAAATTATTATATATGGTGATAAATTTTTTCAAAAAAGAAAAAAACTTGTCAATTACAATAACCAACATTTATAGGTACTAACTTACACAAATGCAATTATGCTTTAAGATTATTCAAAGTAATTACAAAACATTTCCACAATACGTATGCAATTGCAATAATTACGATTAAAGTAGATAATGGTCACACAATAAAATAATTGAATTAAGCGACCTGTTGCTTGCTTTAAAAGCTAATTGCCCAACACACCGTAGTGCCACAAATTATTTTATCCTTGTCTTCATCGCTAAACTGTATGTACTCAGTCTTACCGGCACTAATGCACGTGAATTGCGTCACAGATTGCGCACTCTCTCTCCACCCACTGTATGAGTAATGCGCTATTTGTACACAACTTAGCTAAAGAGACGAATTTATGATTCTTATACGGTTCAACGAAAATTTTCCAACACCCGGAGTAGCTTTTCTCTTTAAATATGTGACTAGAGATAGTAGTATTTTTTGTAAGACGAAAAATCTCTCGATTTACGAGGCTCAGCTGCTGTCTTATAATTAAATCTTAATTAAATATAATATGACATGGTGGCTTTGTATTAATCGCTCACGTAATTGCTGGGATTTTCTTTCTTTTTTCTTTTTATAAATTTATTCAAGACTAGAGCTTTCAAATTTGCTCGATAGGATTGAAATACCTACGTGCGTCTCATGCTGTTTGTACCCACGTAGTAAATTATAAAAATGAATCGACTAGTCTTTTTTAATAAATGAAACGTACGACCTGAACTCTGTATTTTTTTTCAATATACCTCATTTCTGTATAAATTTTACAGAAAAAGTCCTAAAGGTATAATTTCAAAGGTGATTTACACTTTGATAATCTCTCGAATTTCACGTGATGTTAACTACTGATGAGAATTCTACTTGCGTCAATCACATACAATATCTTGATCGATGTCACGATTCTCAAAAGATTAGATATAAACGCGATGCAGTTTCCATTGTCCGCGTGATTAACATCATGCGGGTTAAAAGTAATAAATCAATTGTATCATTAAGCAATGACGTTTGTTTCTT